TAAGAACTAGGGTCACCAAATGAAATTAATAGGCAGCAGATTTAAAACAAACAAAAGGAAGCTTTTCTTCACTCAGTGCAGTCAACCTGTGAAACTGCTTGACAGAGGATGTGGTGAAGGCTAGGACTTTAACAGGGTTCAAAAAAGAGCTAGATACATTCATGGAGGTTAGGTCCATCAACAGCTATTAGCCAGAAAGGTGTCCCTAGCCTCTGTTTTTCTGGAAATGGGTGACAGCGGTGGGATCACATGAGGATTACCTGTTGTGTTCCCTTTTTCTGGGGCATTTGGTATTGGTCACTGTCAGCATATAGGATACTGGGTTAGATGGACCTTTGGTCTGTCCCAGTATGGCCGTTCTTATGTTCTTATGGGTACTCTGCTGCAGGAACTCCATCTGCCTGTCCAGGAAAACAACTTTGTGCTGCAAGAGGTTCTGGAAGAACATGAATTCCTTGGGCACTGAGGGGAGGAAGAGCCAGGCCATCATTGAATCATCTCAGGATGATGAAGAAGCAGTGAAATGCCCCCTAGATGCATCCTGCTCTTGAAGTGACAGACCTGGAGAGGATAAGTCCCAAGGCTCTGCAAGGGGAAACACAACTGGTGCCTGTACTTGCGGAGGGTCAACCACCCCAGTTACCAACTTGCTTGACAAACTTGTCTTCAAGAGCACTCAGGAGTGCAACCTCCACGATCAAGGAGCATCCATCAGATACTACAGGAGCCACTAAGTGTCAGGGTAAAGCACTGGTGGCCAGAAATGCAGACCTCACGGGCACAGCCAGAGCCACTGAGCTATATATTAACCAATATTAGTAGCACCCTAAAAAATACTAACTAAGGTAAAATTCCCCAATATTAAGGATAAACAACTCCTTAAATTATACTGTCCATGATCCATTTCTCAATTTGGCAAGAAAAGGAATCATTTTGTCAAATCACATAAGAAAGTTCCCTTCTGCACTACTAGAAACTTGGGGGCAGTGTCAGCACATCAAAATCAAGGCTCGTATTATTTTAAAAGGTCATGAAACAGTATCAGCTTCTCGTACGCAGACATACAGTGTGTTTACTCAGATGAGACCTGGCACTGTAGTATTTAACATGCTAACAACCAAAAGGCATCCCCTACAGGAACACCTGGACCCACCACAATTAGTGGCATATCAAAACAGCACACACTCATTGAGGGCTCCGCACATGATTTGTTCTGTTAAGGTAGTGGGTCTCATCCAGGGGTACAGCAGTGCCCCTCAGGGTATGCAGAGGTCTTCCAGGATCATCTAGATATTTACATACTTTGATATATTCCATACATAAAAAGCACTAGAAGTCAGTACAAACTAAATATCATACAGAAAATGACTTGTTTACACTACTCTACAGACTATACACTGAAGCGTAAGTACGATATTGATATTCCACTTGATTTATTTTATAATTATATGGTAAACATGAGAAAGGAAGCAATCTTTCAGTACGAGTGTGCTATAACAGTTTTGTGTATTTAGGTCTGATTTTGAAAGCAAGTTGTTTTTCAGGCTATGTCCACACTACGGAGTTTATCTGGGATACCTCCATTATCCCGGAAAAACTCCGCCACATCCAGGGAACGTGTTTGCTCTTCCAAATTTTTTTTCAGAAGAGCAGATGCGCTCTTTCAGAAGCTCTGTATTCCTCATTTTATGAGGAATAAGGGCTCGTTTGAAAGAGGAGGTTTTTCCAACATTTGGTCCTGTACAGACGGGCCAAATGTCGGAAAAGCCTCTTCTGAAAGAACAATTGGAAAAAGGTTCACAAATAGCAGTTCACAATTTGCATACCTTTTTCCAATAAAACCCTGCGGTGTAGACATAGCCACAGTGAGGTGAATCTTGGTGGTATGCAAGGCAAATCAGACTCCTGAAAGGGGTACAGTAGTCTGGAAAGGCTGAGAACCATTTGTTAAGGGACAGCAAGTGTAGGTGTGACATCTTTGCCATTGGCTCTCCCGTTTGTAATCCTCCTGGTACAGAGCAGTTGAACAATACTGGGAAATTAGTTGCTACAGTCTGAAGTCAGAGAAGTGGAGAGGGTAACCTATACACCACTATTTCAAATCGTGTCGTATCCTAAAGAAACACATTTTGGTTGGACAAAAGATTATAATCCCCAGCCCAGTTTTTAATGTGTCTACATAGTTGACTGTGACTGTCAGGATGAAATAGAGCCAATACTATCCATTTACCCCACTAACCTTGACTATGAAGATTTTTAACAGAACAATACGTTATGCAAATTAGCCTCAGCATAGGAAAAGCAAAGCAATCTCAATCAGTTATTTCATGACGGGGATCTCAATATTCTGCTGTCGCATACTTAAATAGAAGTAACCTTCAAGGGTTTGATTGTGTTACAATTATCATCGTCATTATGTTAATTTTATTTTGCCACTTACAAAAATAGAGCAAAAATATTTAAACAAACACGTGACTTGCCAATTCTCTTGTAACTCTGAGAAAACAAGTTAGTGCTACTGAATATCTCACTCATAATTTTTTGTTTAAATAAGTGTCACTGTAATTAAATTTACAATGACGGGGCTGGGCTGGCTTAACCAGAGTATTGTAAATTCTTTAGCTAGTTCATGAACCAGACTCCCATAATCCTCTTTGATAATACTAAGAAAGGAAAATGTAAGGTGGCTGGACTTCTTAAAAAAGATATAGTGACCTTTGGCTGGTCTTTTGAGCAAGCAATGTCTTCAACTGCAACCGACTGGAATACATATAAGCATAATAAATAATAAAATAGCGAGTAAGCAAGCAGGAGCCTATTATGTACCAGACAAGCGTATTTTTATCTATGATATGGAAAGGGGAAATAATGGAATTGTAAACAACCTTACTATAAGTATTAGCAAGGGATAAGCAATGATCAGAACCAAACCAAGACTGGGATAAGTTTGTCGTCAGTTCTATGGATTGTGATAACTATGACTGATACCTAATTCTGTCAGGCATTGTTTTGATATCTAATCTTTTATTAAATTAAATCGCTCTGATTTCTCTGAGGTCTTTCATAATTCCTTAATACATTCAAATGATATTATCAGCTATTGATCAATGATTGATTATTGGAAACGCCGATCTTCAATATATTATACAATGAATTTCCCGAGGCCAGCTCTGTAGCTGGAATAAATCCACGTGAGCACCATTGACTTCACCAGAACTACTGTGATTCACATCAGCTGAGGAGCTGGCCACATCTCCTGTTTCACTCAACGTGTTTTGGGTTATATGACTCTGACAAGCAACAGTTTTCTTGGATACCAATCGGGTTCCTGTATGGGAATGAACTAGAGCAAGAAGGCAGCAAATGGTTTTTCTCCCCCTTAGTTCTCTGCTACATAGATTTGGGCTCTGAGGACCACACCATGTCAACTGGTATCTCCACACCTGCACATTTCTCTGCCAAATCCACAAAAGACCATTTCTTTAAGGGAATAAATCTCTTTGGACAGCTGTGAATGGATGTTTCACACCCCCAGTGCTTAGACAGAAATGGATCTTTCCCTTAAGACTCTCGGGGACTGGCTTTCCATTGGTTTGCAAATTCTGAAGACTTTCACATCTGCTAGTGTAACACACATCTCTTCTAATTCAGTGCTTCCACTCTGCATTATGTCAACAACTACATAAAGTGCAAATCTATGGAAAAAATCAGGCCTTGTATGAGTATATTAGAGGATTGATCAGGATAGTCTCCTTTTATGAGGCTAAATCCTCCACTGGTGTAATCACTACTATAGCTCTCCTGACGTCAATGCAGCTGTGCCAAAAGGATCCGGCCTCTTTCAAACTATCCATTATGCTTTGAAAAACAAAATGATGGAGGAGGAAGAGGCATTAGCATAAGTACAGGCTTGGTGCAATTCATGTTTCTCTTTCACTTGTGAAACTGAAGTGGATGCTCTTTTCCTTTTGCCCGGGGAGAACCATAAGAAAGCCAGATCCACCATTAGCAAAATGTTTGGGCCTCGCTTTCAGATTTGGCACTGTCACTCTTTGCTGTGCAAACCTCTTATCCTGCTTTTATGTTAGGACTGTTCCTATATTTCAAATCAAACTATCGCACCTGGAAAAGCAGCTTGATCGTGGTGCTTTCTGTAGCGCTGCCTCCCATACTGCGAGACAATGTGGTAGCACTTCAAGCAGCTAGAGAGATATTTTTAAAGGGGTAAGTGAATCCCTAGAACAAGGGTGGAGAACCTAAGGCCCAGGGGTCAGATGCAGCCCCTGGCTTGTCTGGATCCAGCCCCTGAGATTCAGGGCTTCCTCTCAGAATTGGGGAACCCCTCACTGGCGCTCCAGCCCCCTGTGGGGCTAGCGCACACAAAATCTACTAGCCTGGATCCCCTTAGGCTCTGGAGCGCGAGGGGAATGTGGGGAGTGTCTTTCTCCTTCTGGGTCAAGGGCCACGCCAGTGAGGGATTGGGTTTCTTTTTTTAAGCGTCTCATTTGATTTTTCTGTGAGCCAACAACCCTTGGCCCAAAAAAGGTTCCCCACTCCTGCCCTAGAACATACTGAGGCTAACATTTTCAACCATGGTCTGTGGTTTTGGATGTCTCTAACTGTAGTGCCCAACTTGAGACAACTTGGAACTGATTTTCCTGACAGTGCAAGACCACTGCTTATCCTCCAGTATTGTCTTGTTGTTTCCTTGTGCTCCCCTGTCTGTCTAATCTACCTGTTATCTCTTGTTCTGTGCTTGTATTGCGAGCTCTTTGGAAGAGGGATCTTTTCCATTCTGCATTTGTACAGTGCTTAGTCCAATGGGCCTTGCTTCATGCTGCTCTTGGTTCGGTGACATGGACATAGTTACTTGAGTCTGCCCCAAATCTGAATGCAAGTGAGGTACCTGCTGTGAAATTCTGGTGCTTATCCCCCTCAACCCTGGTTTTCATGTCGTTACATGGACTCTCAGTCCCACAGTGCAGGCAGATGAACCGTACCTCTTTAAGAACGAGCACGCACTTGCCAGGCCCAACCGACTGAGGTAGCTCTGCTATTCTCCCTTTGTTTAAATATGGACCTGAGAAACAGCGGTGATTGATGAAGAGCTGGGGGCAGCAGTATCGCCCGTTGACGGTACCTGCAAGAAGAAAGCAACATTGTAATTGTTTTTCTGCAGCAAACCCAAAGTCTCTCTTCTTCCTCCTAGATCCTTGCAAAACTACCAGAATTCCTCCCTGAGAAGGGAGGAATAGAAGCCCCTTGCAGTCGGATTGTGCCCCTGGTGAGCACAGTTCAGTATCTAGAAAGGTCGCATTCATGACACCGTCAGTAGTACTTATATGGCCCACAAAACCAGAATATCTGAGTGTCACATAACTGCTAGCCCTGCTCGTTGATAGGCAGTACTATTCCCATTTTACAGCTGGAAAACTGAGACCTAGAGAGGTCAAGTGAGCTGGCTGAGCAAGTAACTGAACTCCAGTCCTGAGAATCCTAAACTAGCATTAAACACTGGGGAAGCCTTCCTCTGTCTCAAGAAAGCCTGTACATACCCAACTGCAAATCAGCATATGTGCTTAGGTCTCCATCCCCACTTCTATGAGCTGTACAAACAAACAGTTAATTTTCTGACAGAGGTTTCTGCGCCTGGGTGGTACTGGCCTAAAACAATATGGGTGAACTGCAGGCCTGAACAAAAACAGCGTGCTAGAGAGTTTAAGTGCCCCATAGCTTTGCCTAGGAAGGGTAGCCACTCAGCTCTGGGAGGGATGGAGCAGCCCTCGTCCTGTTAATTTGAGTCATAGCGCCTCTCTTCAGTAAATCAAATCCCAGATTTCCATAGAGCTTTCCTGATCCTTTTACCATTCGTGGTATTTTCCCCTAGACCTCTGTTGAAGAACAGGGCCTACTGATTTCAAGCTCTAATTGAGTCTCTCACACCACCTTCCTTTGTTTGCGTGTACACAGCAGAGCTATTTCGGGATAGTACCCTGAAATAGCAATTCCGTGTCTTTAAAGCAGCCTGTTATTTCAAAATAGATTTTGAAATCACAGGTGCGCTATTCCGGCATCTCTGTAACCCTCATTCCATGAGGGTTAAGGGACATTTTGGAATAGTGCTTTATTTTGAAATTATCTCAAAATAAGCTATGCAATTTGTGTAGTGCAAATTGTGTAGCTTATTTCGAGGTAAGAGTGTAGTGTAGCTGCACCTCTGCGAGCTATAAAACTTGCCTCAGTTCCCCCACCTGTAAAAAGGTGAATAATAATATTTTGCTTCCTTCTGCACCATTGACATAGGATGGTGTGAAGGTTACTTAGTCCATGATTCAGTTCCTCAGGAATCAGTCACATAAAGAGAAACTGATGAACTCCCTGTGATCTGTACTTGAAAGAAACTAAGACAAAAGCGAATTTAAAAACATGGCTTTCAAACAAAGGGATTATCTCCGTTATTTCATTCCTGTGTAATGAACTGTCTAAATATTCTGCACTAAAATAACCTACCTTCCATAAAGGAGTTGTGATAATGGTTGATGTACTGTACAGATAGGCATGGAGAGAGACAGAGGCAAATTTAACTAAACGGATGCCAATAGAAAACAGCATTATCTATTTAAACCAGGGCTTTATTTGGCCTGATGCCATGACGCTGTCTGGAATGGAGCTCTTCAGGGATCAGATTCTGAAAACCCAGGTAACTTGAGACAGAGAGTGAAGGAGACAGACAGACACATACATGTGCTCACACGTCCTTGGCTGGTGTAAATCAGTAAAAGTTATTGACTTCAGTGGAGCTATGTTGACTTAATACCAGCTGAATATTCTAGGAGTATTCTGTAGGGCTATGTCTACACTGGCCCCAAATTCCGGAAAAGGGATGCAAAGCAGGTAAGTCAGAATAGGGAAATCCGCGGGGGATTTAAATATCCCTCGCGGATTTAAATAAACATGTCCGCCGCTTTTTTTCCGGCTTGGGGAAAAGCCGGAAAAAAGCGTCTAGACTGGCGCGATCCTCCGGAATAAAGCCCTTTTCCGGAGGATCTCTTATTCCTACTTTCAGGAATTTGGGGCCAGTGTAGACGTAGCCTAGGTGTCTATATAACACGCACTTCTCACCTTTGGCTTTTCCATATTTCTTTTGACAGATGAAGTCTGAAATGATAAGGGGCCTTTCCGGTCGCTGAACAGACTCACCTGTTGTGTCTGGCTGAGGAACTGGGCAAAGGTCATGAGGTATTTTCTCAACAGGCACTGTGGGTGGCAACCTGTTTAACGACAATATGATGCACTTAATCCCAGGTGTTTGGGTGACGGATCACAACCTGAGCAACTCAGGATTTTGCTCGAGACTCACAAAAGTATTATCATCAATTAGTACCGAATGGCATATTGGGCTGCATTAGTAGGAACACTGCCAGCAGATCAAGGGAAGTGGTTACTCCCCTCTGTTTAGCATTGGGGAGGCCACATCTGGAGTATTGCATCCAGTTTTGGACCCCTCACTATAGAAAGGATATGAACAAACGGCAGACAGTCCAGCAAAGGGCAATGAAAATTATTAGGGAGCTGGGACACATGATTTATGAGGAGAGGATGGGGGAACTGGGCTTATGTAGTCTGCAGAAGAGAAGGGGAGGAGGACTGATAGCAGCCTTCAACTCTTTGACGGCAGATACCAAAGGGGATGGTGCCAGGCTGTTCTCAGTGGTGGCAGACGACAGAACAAGAAGCAATGGGCTCAGGTTGCAGTGGGAGAGGTCTAGGTTACATAGTCAGAAAAAAACTATTTCTTTAGGAGGGTGGGGAAGCACTGGAATGGGTTGCCTAGGGAGATGGTGGAATCTCCATTCTTAGAGGTTTTTAAGGCCAGGTTTGACAAAGCCCTGGCTGGGATGATTTAGCAAAAGGTTGGACTAGATGACCCCCTGAGGTCTCTTCCATCTCTAATCTTCCACGATTATACTGTGATATCTTCACAAACATTATAACAATGCCACTTTGGCCCATATCCTCCAAAGGATTTAGATTTAGATGCCTAGTTCCTATTGAAATCAATGGGTGTTTGATTTCTAAATACCTTTGAGGATGTAGGTCTTTAAACACAACATTATTTCAACTAGAATTCTGTTATTGCTTATGGCCAGGGATCCATGTATTTTGGGGGTTTCACTGAAATTCACCCCTGGCTGAAAAACTGTGCACCAGAATCTGAACTTCATTTTTTAAAAATAAGTGTTTAGCTTAAGGACACAAAGATCATCTTTGAAACATGCATCAAGTGTAACTGATGCAGCATTGCCTGCCCGAGTCTGCAGGAAGCCAGAAATAGCTTGTAAATGTATGAACTACCCCACTGATTCCAGTCAGAGCTCAGGGGGGCAGCTTGATACTGTGGATTCTGGATTTTTTTTCCAACTTGTTCTGGAATTCAGCCTTTCTGCCACAGAATTCACTGACTCGTATTAGAGGGAAGTGCCAGTCAGTGAAAAATTCTGATTAACTAGGAGGGAGGGAATTTGGGTGTGGGGAGGAGCTCAGGGCAGAGGGTTGGGGTGCAGGAAGGGTTTCAGGGTCCTGGATTCATGTGGTGTTCACCTCGGGCAGCTCCCCACAAGCAGTGACTTATCCCTGCTTCTCTCAGAGGGGCAGCTAGGAGGCTCTGTGCACTTTCTCTGACCCTGCAGCTCCTGTTGGTTGGGACAGGTGGCCAATAGGAGCAGGGGAGCCAGTGAGCTGGGAAAAATAGGGGTAGCACATGGGCCTGCCCAGCCACGCCTCTGCGAGGAGCAGTAGGGACTGGTCGCTGCTTGTGAGGAGATGCCAGAGGAGACCACCTCATGAAGCAAGCACCCCAAAACTGCCCATGTGCTCCCACCTCCTTCCTCAAGCTCCTCCCTCCGCACCCTTTCCAGCATCCCAAACATTCAGGCCCACACCCCCTCATGCACTCTGAACCCCATGTGGCCATTCCTCCACCTAGGAGCAGCAGGGACATGTTGCCACTTCTGGGGAGTCATGCTGAGCCTGGCAAGGAGCCTGCTGTCCCCATGTCAACTGGGCTATAAACACGACTTTCTATGAAGACTAGAAATGCCTGTTTATAGAGCTTTCTGGTTGGCACAGGGCCAAATAACACAGCTTTTATTGCAATATGAAGTAGCTGCTGTCCCCCATTCCACACAGAGAACCACATTCATCTACACGTTGAAATGGCTTTTAAACAGAAACCTACTGCTGTTCTGGCTGCACAACTGCAATCTTCCTCTTCTTTCGTACTGCAAAATGAAAGAGGGAGAGGAAAATGTACCGTCTGCTGTATAAATGCCTGGGATTTAAAATAACATTTAACACAAGGAAAGGCTCTTCTATGCTCAGCTCCCACTTACTGGATTTTTTTTTTTTTTTTGTAAATAAGCTGCCACACCATTGAAAACTGAGTGTTGTACATTTAATCTTGCTCCAGCAAAGCTGATATTGATTTTATGGACCCTGTGCTTAACAAATATTCAAATAAAATAATACACCAATTTTTCCATGCAGAAACACATGGGTAAGATTGCATTTTGCAAGCATGATTACCCCAGCCTCCTTGTGCCCCATCTGTAAATAGCGATAAGGCTGCTCAATGTTGCCATAGCAGTATTCTTAATCTTCCAAATTAGGTCTGTCTGCCTGATTTTTAACTCTGATATATTTAAACTCTTCCAAAAGGGTGACGCTTTTTTAAAAAATTTGCCTTGCAAATGTTAATGAACAGAAACAGACAGATGATAATTATTTCAGCTGGAGATGGGAGATGTGTATTCATTATACTTCATGAGCAGCTTGATGACATCAACTCTAGGGTTCTCAATCGGGGGTCATGACCAGCCCCCCAAAGAGGGCAAGTGTATGGCCCCCTTCCCTTTTGATAGTGTGCTTTCACCCTCCTTTTTTTCTCCTCAACACCCAGATTCCTCCACTGATCACATGTCTTTCCCATGTCACCAGGAGGAGGTGGGAGGGGAGAGCCTTCCAAAGAGCTGCCTGCGATTCTCCACTCCAGTGGTGGGAGTGTTTCTGAAAGAGGCAGCAAAAGATAACACATCCTCCTGCCGCGGCTGCTCCTCCGCCTCGGTCTTCCAGGACTCACACCCTTCCCCCAACCTGTTTCTCTCTGCAGGCCAACCACGAGGGAAGGGCACAGCTTGGAGTTTCTTTGGGGCTTTACTTCTCTGGTTCTGTCTGGGCCCACATTCACCACAAGGGCAGCAGGGGCTGTATAAACGGTCCTGAATGGAACCCACCTTTACTCTGAGGAAACTCAGATCCAGATGTGGCTCCATCCTCCTGGCCAATCTCCGCTCCTATTGATTGGTTGTTTCCAGCCCATAGGAGATGAGAGATTGGCTGGGGTCAACTCCTATTGGCTGGAGTAAACCCTCCACCTTTACTCTGATCCCTCTGATCCAGGCCTCAAGCTCAGATCCAGACCTCAGCTTCATACCTGGCATCTCCCCTTTGAAAGACCTGGGCTTGAACCCCAGGATCAATTTCATCCAAACTTTTGGAAGGCTCCCAGCACAGGAGTCCATCTTGGTGGCTTAGGTCCATCTCCTCATGAGATTAAGGAATTTTGGACCGGCTCCTGCATAAGGATCTCAATGGAGATTGAGCAAATGGAAAGCTTGCAGGATCTGGGCCCTTTAACATAAACAGCATCTCCTCTCTCTGGCATAAAGAAATAGAGTATCTGGTCCTATAACATCTCCAGGGCAATTACATTTTTTAATACGTGGCTACTTCAGATGAACAAAAGACTCTAATTTTGAAATAGTGGTAATGTGGGCGCTCTGGTGCCACTATCTCAAAATAATTACTCCCCAGAGTAATTCAAACTAATTACTTCCCAGTGCTTCCTGGGGCTCTAAGTCCCAGCAGCACGTCCACGATAACAGAGCCTGCCTCAGACTAATTTTGAGGCTTCCCTGTAGTGAAGTAGTTTGATTTTGTTATTTTGGGAGTTATTAACTTGGTTTTTGTTATTTCAAAATAGTTTCCTAGTGTAGACATGTCCTTAAGTGTTCGGGAACGGTGTTAGGCTGACAACTCTGGAGAGCAAAGCCCTGGGTTTATATGCCTCTGGACACCGCACGGACAATGGTCATACTGGTTTCCCGACTCAGGTTCCTCAATCCTGATCTAGAGAGTAAAAGCACTAAGTGTCCAAGTGATTTAGAACACAAGGTCCACTGAAAGTCAGCAGCTCTTATGCACCTAACTCACTTAGGTCCTTTGGAAAAACATTTGCTGTATCTCATTACCAGTCCCCTGTGCTGGCCAATTCCAGTCCTCTCCTGCTATGACAGTTCTCACTTATGGTATGTCTACACTGCAATCATGGGGTATGACCATTGCATGAGCCCAGATTCTCAGGCCAGCTCAGATCTACCTAGCTCGATACCAGGATGGCAAAGCCACAGCAGCATGTGGCTTGATGCAGGCTACACACACCTGATCAGAATCCTGAGTAATTATTCCAACACACAACTATGACGCCACTGCTCGCTAGATCAAAGCTAACTTGGGTATGTCTACATGAGCTGTGACTGCAACGTGTCCTTAAAGTCTTTGTCACTTATTCCTAAGGGCAAAGTAGAGAAATTAATTTCAATGTGAAGAAACCCAGGCATCACTGTTACAGCCATGTTAGAACTATCCAGGGCCACATTCTGCAAACATTAATCACATGAGTAGCGCTTACTCAAGCAGACAGTCCCATTTGTAAAGGGATTCCTTGGGTACAAACTACTGACTCCAAGGGTTGCAAAATCTCACTGCTATTTAGGCAGGTTGGTAGGTAGCAGGAGTAGATAAGATACATGAGGCACACTGACTAAGGCCATGTCTTCACTCCACAGTTTGATTTAGTGGGTCTAGTAAAGACCTTTTAAATCAAACTCAGAGGATGCCCTCATCAGCGGACAGTACTCCTGCTCCTGCGAGGAGGAAGGGAAGCCAATGGGACTGTTTGCTTCCATCGGGCTCCTGCTGTGAGGATGGTGGGGAAACTCAAATCAAAATTTGTCGTGTATCTTACCCTCATCAGCGGACAGTACTCCTGCTCCTGCGAGGAGGAAGGGAAGCCAATGGGACTGTTTGCTTCCATCGGGCTCCTGCTGTGAGGATGGTGGGGAAACTCAAATCAAAATTTGTCGTGTATCTTAATTTGATCTTCCCCGTTAGCATAGACCTGGCCTAAGAAATCCACAGGTATAGCATCAATTCAGCTGGTGGTTTCTGTACTTACAAACTGGTTTGTGTGGTGGCGTGAGGTTGTAAGCATTTGCTTCACACCAGCCAACTGGGAAAATGTCCATCGACTCTACATCAACTATATACTCCGGAGCAGGCATCTGTAATCCTATAAACACAAATTTATAATGCAGTTCAAACACAGGATGACTGAGCTCAGAGCAGTTCCAACATTCATGACAAACCCAGGAAAGGAAATGATGGAGCACACAAAATTACATCTGCTCCCTTGCATCGAGATCAGGCATCATTTCATCTTCAGTTTCATGCAGGGAGCAAAGACAAGACTGTTACATTTAAAGCACAGTGTGATTCCACAGAAAAATGTTGTTAGATGAAAGGTTAAGCAACTGAAAGTCAGCAAAACAGCAAGGTTCCCCATCCTTTGACCTTACAGAGTGCCACGAATTAAACCTGTTGCTCACAGACTCACTGATTTTAAAGATACAAGGGCTTATTATGATCATCCAGAGCCTCTATGAAATCCATTAGGGACTTTGCTATTGCTATCAATTTTACACGGGAGCAGCTCAGATAAGTACAGTGATGGGCGGCATCATGAACCTTGGAGACAAACAGAGACAGATTTCATCTGACTTCCTGCACAGCACAAGCTAAAGAACCTTCACCCCAAAATTTCTGCCTCAAGCCCATAACTTCTATTCCAGCAGCAACACCTCTCTCTGAAAGACATTCTGTCTCAATTTAGACCGCCCCGTTGTGGCTCTAATCCGATGCCCATGGAAAGATTCCCCTCTGGCTTTTAGGGCTTCTGGAGCTTGTGTGGTCAGCTGGATCCCATTTACTGACTCCCACCCTGTTCCATTTGTACATATGTCACTAGCATGAGAAATCTCTCCTAATGAAGATCAGTAGATGTGGAGATTGCTCTCCTGTAGCACTTAAAGCAGCGCTAATAGCGAAAAGGATGTTACAAAAAGGAGGGAGAAAAATTGTTCTCCTCGGCCTCTGAGCATAGGACAAGCAGCAATGGGCTTAAATTGCAGCAAAGGAGGTTTAGGTTGGACATTAGGGAAAAAGTCCTAACTGTCAGGTGGCTAAACACTGGAATAAATTGCCCGGGGAGGTTGTGGAATCTCCATCACTGAAGATATTTAAGAGCAGGTTGTCTAGACATCTATCAGAAATGGTGCTTGGTCCTGCTGTGAGGGCAAGGGACTGGACTTGATGACCTCTCGAGGTCCCTTCCAGTTGGGGGGGAAGAGCCCGAACGCCTTGCAATCGACTGGTCGAAGCCTCGCGATCAACCATTCAATCGCGATCGACCGGTTGGTGAACACGGCTTTATGGCGCTGTGCCCTCTTAGACATGGGGCTCAATTCAGGGGAATCAGTCTAAAGCCAGCCCTGCAGATAGCTTCCCTTCACAGTGCTCTGATTTAAGTACTGGTTCTGGCCAATCAGTGGGCTGCAAGCGGTCGCCACTCAAGTCCTGCTGGGTGGTACTTCCTGCCGAGCCCAGCCTCACAGGGTCCTTCCATGGGCACTCAGCATAAGCTTCCTGTGGTGGTATGGAAATGTCAGATGCCTAGAACCCCCATGGGCCCACAATGCAACACTGCAGGTTCTAATACAGTGACTGAAATAACCCAGGATATCTTTTATTTTCATTACTGTTGCTCTTCTCACCCATCATTCTTTTCTTTTTTCTGCTCACAATAAAAGGTGCAACATTATGGTTTGATCCCCAAAAGTTTACAACTGCAGCCACTCTGAATGGGCTACTGTCTCATCCTGCAACACATAACTAAGGGTACGTCTAGACTGGCGTGTTATTCCAGGATACCAGAGGTATCCTGGAAAAACTCCGCCGCATCCAGAGAATGCGTTTGCTCTTCTGCTTTTTTTTTTCTTCAGAAGAGCAAACACACTGTTTGGGGGAGCCCCATATACCTCATTCTACAAGGAGTAAGGACTTCTCCGAAAGAGGAGGCTTTTCCACCATTTGGCCCTGTCTAAATGGGGGATCAGAAAAAGCTACACAAATTGTGGAGTGCAATTTGTGTAGCTTTTTCTGACAAAGGACTGTAATTTAGACCTAGCCTAAGATGCATACCTCTAACCACGCTCATGTGGTATGGCTTTCTATGTGAGCATTTGATAATCCCGCCAATCACTTCCCACATCTTACTGCTACCCTTCGCTTGAACCGTATAACTGGAAACTGCTGGTTTGTAATTTGTTTGATTTATGAATTTTACATCCCTGTCTTCACAACCCGAGAAAGGACCACAAAAATCGAGAGATTAGTAATACAACAGAAGCCATGAAGAATGAAGATTTCCATCTCCCATTAAATATATTACATTATTGTGCAATTTCAGCAGCAATTCTTGAAAATATAAACCCAATTTGTCCCTGAAAAATGACTAGTGCAGGGTTTCTACTTCGCCAAATTCCTAGTGTCGCCTTACATATTATGCAGAGGGTACACATTATTACTTATATAAATGCAAACTAGAAAGGTTTGGCTTAAGCCTAAAATGAACTAGTAAAAATTTACAATGCAGATGCTGAGTAATAAATTGGCAGAAAGCAATGGGATACACACATAGCCTCATATCAGCCCTGTGCATCTTTCCCACTTCAGGTGAGACACGCTGTCACTCATTAAACGCTCACCAGGAAGTTTACAGAACTTTGCTACTGCATGAAATATGATTTATTCAGCAAGGGGCTGTCATGTCTAACTCGATATGGCTTAGCTATTGCAGCCTGTTTTACAGCGCAGTTTGTGCTGCCAAACTGCAAAACTGGAATGGTACCTATGAAGGTTTCGGCCAGTAGCCATGATGAATGGAGAGTAGGGATGTGAAAGTGTAACCATTTATATGGTTAACCAATGAGCCTGCGTTCACAGTTATACGCACACACATCATGCTGCTGTCTCTGCATCAGAGGCAACAATGCGGGAGGCAGAGGCGAGCTGGTGTGCCTGGAGAGCCAACTTTTAAGCTCTTAAGCTGATTCCCCAATTCTGCCGGTTCCTGTGGAGCCAAGACCCACTACCCTGCTGTTGCCTCTGAAATTTTCAGCGGTTACATGTTTACTTTAATAAATGCATTTTAATAACCTTATTGGAGATATTACACTGTGAATGGTAAAGGAGCTCTGGTTGTGATGTGGACCCGCAGGTGCTACCAGCAAACAAACAATAATGTGAGAATAACAGAGAGTTACTGTAGTCCTGTGATGGGGTATAGACGAGTTCCCACTGTGTAGCAGCTGCAGAGGGCTTAATGGATGGAAGAGTTATTACCCCACCTGTGACTAAGGGGCTGGGTAGCAAACAGCTGGGATAAAAGGGCAAAGAGGCTGCAGACACATTCCAACACATTCCTCAGCAGTGGCCTGGCAAATACTGGACCCAGATGTCTGCCACAGGAAGTGGCAGTAGGTCTGCTAAGTAATAAGCAAAAGGGTCATTTATTTCCTCTTGCCCTACTTAGGTGGGAGGAAAAAGCCAGCCTCCCATAGGCCAGCATTGCCAGGCCTTGGGGAGGCTACTATAGAAGCTCAATGCATAGAGAGCAGGTGCCCAGAGACTGGTAGATGGAGCTTTTAAAGGGCCATGGCATCACAATAACCTCTTAAGGGTGAAGAAATGGAACCCTTCACATGTCCACACCAATGTTCCCTCTAATTTTTTTCCCATCCCTGTGCACAATATTTGTGTTATGTGCACCAAGGCATGCGTGAATGTGCACCACCAATAGAAACGCATACTGCTAGCTTTGCGGGGTGTAGGCACCCTGCTAATCAGATGGGTGGCACCTGAACCTCTCCTGGGTACTCAAGAGCTCAGCTTACAGGGAACACTGGTCCACGCCACGGTTTACATTTTCTTTATAAATTCTCTACAGGTGGGCTTTCCACAAGCACTCAGACTTGGCCTAACTCTGCTCCTATTTGAAATCTATGGGAGTTTTACCATTAACGTCAATGGAAGCAGAATTACCTGGAGTTTCGTTTATTAATATTCATTTATATGTATCAATGTTTCTTATAACAGACCAAACAAATTCTATGTGCCAACAAACAAAACAAGTCCCAAATACTGCACATCCAAAAAGTCCAACTGACACAATGCTTGGGGTCCCATATATAAGCTGCAGTATTCCAAGCACAGGGCTCTTTTGTGTTACAGCACACATGAAACAACAACATTAAGGAAGCAAAAGTCAAGAAGGGAAAAGGAGAAATTGGAGAGGGGGGAAGGAATGTAGGGATTTATCTCCTGCCAGTCATCCAGGCCTCGTTCAGGGATCTGGAGTCAACCAGTTATAGTAACAGAGCTATTTATTGACTACCATGGCAGCAGAATCGGATCAACTTTGAGCATTTAAGAAAATCCTACACTACAACTTCAAAAAAATCCTAACCCCTATAAAATCTGGAGATCCAGGGATGTGGTCATTTTGGGCACGTCTACACTGCGTTATTTCAAAATAACGAGGTGAGCGTCTACATAGCAAGGCCCTTATTTTGAAAGTATTTCAAAATAACGGGCTTCTTATTCTGAAATCAGTAACCCGCATTTCCCAAGGAATAACACCTATTTCGAAATACTTATTATTCCGAAGTAGCTTATTTTGAAATAAGTGCGTAGTGTAGACATAGCCTCATGGTGATACCAGTGGTCCAGTCTCTAACAGTGGCCAGTAACAGACCATTCAGAAGAAGGCGCAGGGAACCCTGCAGTATGCAAATATGGGATAGTCTGTCCCTGCATTATCCGGCATGTTCACCACCTAGGTATGCGGAAGACATGCCAGACAGTTGATGCCCCTCCTGCTCTCATCCAAATTCTCACCACTAGTCAGCTAGGTGCAGAGACCATGAAACCTGAAGCTACAGTAGGGGGCCTCTCTTGGGATCTGATTGGAGGAACACTGGTTCCTCTGATTGGTCAGGGCTTCCAATTGAAACCCAAAGAGAGGCAGAAGCACTTGTCTGCACAACTGGATGCAACATGCCTGCTGCTTGGAGCCCTCGCCCAGCCCTACAGAAGCTGATCTGACTTATGCCTTGTATCCTGATCTTGGACTAATATTTGGTGATCCAAATTATGCCTCACCTGATCTAAGTT